TTTTTTTTACAAACTCCGAAATGTAGCACTTTCTAATTATAATAATAATATTCATTTTAGAATATCAATACAAAGAATAATTAAACCTGACTTTTTTTTCATTTGGATTGAATAAGCAGTTCGATAATGCTCAGTTTAGAAGAAGTCTGTACGGGTATACTGCGTATAAAGTTTGATGAAATAACTGAAATTGCAAAAAACTTATGACAAAACCTACCATGTTTTGAAAAATTTCAACAATCTGTATTTCGAAAACGAATCATTCTTCGTTAAACATTTTATAGGAACAATTTGTTTATTTTGACGAGATCCACCACATACTTAGTTTTTGTAATGTTCTCAGCAACTTCACTTATCGCCCAAGGAGCTAAGTAATATGCATCGATATAGAAAATTGTAAATATTTTGAAAACGATCACGTCCAGCGTTGTTGAGGCGTTGTATCTTTTTTACTTGGAAAAGGTGTGGGAATTAGGTTTTTTCATGAAAAGTACCGAACATAAAAATTCAATTTCACCACTCCGTATCTCCGAAACGAAGCATTTTCAGACCCAAGTTCATATAGACTATTTTTCTCAAAATTGTCTCAGGAATACGTCACTTGAATATTTCAACGTACTTATGTTACATCCTGTATACAACTAGAAAATTTAGAGTTGATTTGTTCTCTTGGATCCAACCTAAAATTGTTTTCATGTCTATAACATCATCAGTTGAACTATAGTTAGCACTAATTTTTTTTCAGGTGTTTCATACCAGAATGTGAGGATCAACTGGATACATCCTACAACGTGTCATGGATGAAATGGGCTATTCCTAATAAGATTTCTGAAGACCAAGTTATCGGAGTAAAAACTGATTCCTGTTCAAGATATGTTCATGAAAATGATTCTTCTGAATTCCACAGCACTGTTTGCACAGAAAAATCTTTTACGAATACCACTGTGGCATGCTCGGAATTGATTTTCGACGAGAACGAGAGGACAATCGTTAATTCTGCCAACATGAATTAGATGTAATCAAACTTTGGTGTAATAATAATCGGCTACAACTGAACGTACCAAATGTAAAATAATATGTACAACAAAAAAGCGAACTTCAATGTACGATTATTATTCAATCAACAATACTACAATCAACCGCGTACACGAGATAACAAATCTTGGTAAAATATACGACAGTAAATTAACATTTACAAAACATATAAGGAATATGACCGCTGACGTGAATAGGATGCTTCGATTTATTTACAGAAATGGCAAAAACTTCAAAAGTATTGCCACCTTAAAATTGCTTTATTTTCAGATCTAAGTTAGAGTCTGGCTCTGTGTTATCGAATCCAGTTCACGACTACCAAAAAACATTAAATGAGAGCGTGCAGAGGAAGTTCCTAAAATACTTATGTCTGAAAGTTAACATTTTGTTGACAAGATTTGATATAACATCTTTGGAAAATAGGAGAGTTACTCCTTCATGAATTACTAAACAACAATATTGACAGTAGGGTTCTTTTACCCGAGATCAATTTCTTAGTACCAAGTAGTGAATGTTGACATTATCTGAAATTCTATTGCGAAGCATCACGCACAAATCTTATGCTACGATCACCATTGAATTTCATGTGCAGTAGCTTCAATGAAATCTATGAACATTTCGACTCTCTGAACGCCTTGGTATCGTATCCTCAATCACATTTAATAATACTATAAATAACATTTGTGTACTGCTACATTGCATGATTTGTAAGTTTTTGTGTTATATACTCAATTTTTCATTTCTCTTTTGAAATTCTACGTATACGAATATTTTATATATACTTTGTTCTAGCATTTACTTTTATACATTTCTATATTCCATTATTTTCAATATTTATTTCATAAATACTCTGTTATAATAGCATTTCCTGTAACTGGGTACTCCTGTTGGAAACAAATCGCTTTTTTTTGTGAGTGCAGGAAAGATCCAAAATAAACGGCAAAGTGCGTGGGACTCGATTAATTTCAAACGGCTCGATTGCATGTATGAAACCTTCATATAAAAGAAAGATTGTTAAATAGGTCCGTCTCAAGAACAAAGCTCCAAGCGGGGAAGAAACATCCCCTGTACCAATAATCTAACAGAGATCTGTCTGAAGACTACTCTACTCGAATATATTCAGCATGGTCCTGCTGCTGGATGAACGAGAAATATATATGAGACTGACCTCTGTGAGGCATTTTGCATAAAAGTTTCTCGGATATGATTCAATATCCATCATGGTATTAGCCGGAGAAGTACTTCTTTCCTGGCAGGGGTTCACTAGAACCTACTGTGTAGGTACGTTGGGAGAGAATAATATTGTGGCAAGATGATGACCTATGGCGATCAAGGACTCTACCCTTAATGTAACCACATAATGTAACCAACCGCGGTAGCTGATTCCTTGACTTGATAGTTTTGATGATGTCAACATGTTTAATATTTGATGATGATGTATTATAATAAAACAGGTAAGACCTGATTGGGGAAGGACCCCCTTGTACAACTCCTAGGCAATAAACCTAGTATCTGAATATTCTGGTGTTTCCCTCATGGTATTTCTCTCATAAGGCTACCCCTGAGTCACCCCCCAAACCGAAGTTGTAACGATATTGCAAGATTTCATTTCGAAATATTTATTTTCTTATACGTATGTATATCTTCTCGATACAGTCTTCAGACATGGTTTGATCTCTGTTAGAATATTGGTACAGGGGATGTTTCTTTCCGATTTGGGCCTTTGTTCACGCACGAGATGGAGCTGTTACCAGTAACAATCTTTCCTTAGACGAAGGTTTCATACATGCAGTCGAGCCGTTTTGAAATTAATTGAGTTCCAGTTACTTTGCTGTCTGCAGCCGATCTATTCGAATAATTTCACCATGCCCCTGCTGCTGGATGAACGAAAAACATCTCCGAGACTAATCTGTGAGGTATCTTGCTTAAATGTCTGTCAAATATAATTCAATAGCCAGCGAGTTATTAGCCAGGAAAGTAGTTGTTTTTCGGCATGCATTTACCAAAACCTACCATGTAGGTAGTTGGGAAATTCATGATTGTATATTCAAAAACGACTTTATTGTGAGATTTTCACTGAACAGTTTTACAAAAACGCAACACGTGTTTCGCAATACAATGGCTTCTTCAGTGAAGACGCCTGAAGAAGCCATTGTACGGCAAAGCACATGTTGCGCTTTTGTAAAATTATTGGGTGAAAATCTCACAAATATTTTGTTTTTTAAATACGTTTTGAATGTTCATCATTTATTGGTCAATTCCATCAAATTTCATAATTGCAGTTATGAACTCCTTCTCTTAGGATTGGTACTCCAGGAGAAATTACGAATCATTAAAACTGTGTCGAGAGTAGACGTGTCAAGCTGAAACTCATTTTCTAATTTAAAACAAACATTTGTGAAATGTATCAAATGTCACCTCAAAAATTTTGCACGAGCCAAATACCGGGTGCTCATCAAACATGCGGCAAAAATTTAAGGGACTATTCCTTGAACTATTCTTAGGATATTTAGTCCTTTGTTACTTTTCAATAGGGCGCTGTGTTTCGAAGATAAGGAGCGAAAAATAATTTCGACAATAACAATTCCATACCAAAAATTATATGTAATGTTTCTTAATCTACAAAAACTGTTGAAATGACCAGGATCGTTTCTGAATGCGTTATCTGATTTCTCAAGTCTTCCACATCTTCCACTGTAATCGGAATATTGTTGATAGTAAAAAATATCTTATCCGGTTTTATTAACTGCACATCATGATACACAACTCTTTACTGAAAAGAATATGGCTATTTGTGACCAGCGAGTACCCTCAAAACCTTTCCCAAAATTTAGAGTCAATAGTGATTGACCCAATATAAAAACATGTCGAGGAAAATACTACATTACCAGTCATTAATCAAGAATGCATAGATATTTTATAGCATTACTCAAAACAACGGTTATAACTGGAACCAGTAGAATTATCCGCTGGGATTTATGGCTCGCTCAAATTCTCTTTCGCTGTAGTCATTTCTTTTTTCAGGTGATTGAGTTTCTCAGGAAGACTCTCAGGTTCACAAATACGTCATGCTATCTCAAACAACGTTTTAATCACCCCTCTCTTTTGATGTGACTGGTTTTGTTCAGATACCCGTCTGTGTGTGTTGGTTTCCTGTACAATCTATGGCCCAATGCATCATTTTCACGTCTGTTCATAATAACGTCCAAGAAGGCCCAAGAAGTCCCTTGGGCTTCTCGTTCCATTGTGAATTGAATTTTTGTGTCGAGAGAGTTCAGATCTGTATCTGTAGAATAGAGTAGAGTAGATAGGGTGAGTATAAGCCCACAGCCTTTAGGCCACATGTGAGCCATTGTACATCCTCCCGTAGAGTTGTCCTCCTAGGTCATCGTCCGACATGTCCTTTCCAGGAAGGTGTACAGATCACTGGGAGACATCTCCTTATATCGGCAGGTGTAGGCCAAGACTCGCCGAACACACATTTTCTTATTGGCGATAACTCCGGGCATTCGCATAGGATATGCCTGACAGTCTCATCTTCCATTTCACACATCATGCATAGAGGTGCGTCCACTAGCCCCATATTATGGAAGTGTTTCCTTAATTGACAGTAGCCAGTCAGAAATACTACTGTTAAGCGTAGATTTTTCCTGGTCATCGCCAGATAATTCTTCGGCGCCAGCTTCCCAGGGTCGCCCAGGGTGATCCTGGCAAGATTGAATCCTTTGATTCCATCCCATCTCTTTAGGGATTGAGCATGGGTGTAACATTTGGCTAATTCCGCAATTTTGAAGTCATCAGGCCGTAGGTGCTTCCTTGGGTAAAGAGTCGGCAATGCGATTACTTTCACTCCTGTCATGTCCTTTAACCCACCTCAGGATATTATTATTCACCGAGACTTTAGCCAAATCTTGGTGGCACTCTAGTACTAGCCCTGAGGTAACACGTTGTTATTGTTATGTTTTTGCCAGAAATTCCTTTCCTGGTTATTTCTTTTGTGGCGATTGAGATACCAGCTGGTTCTGTTTGGACCACGCTAGTATTTCTCCCATTCCCCACTTAATCCTTAGGCTTAGTGCTCTGGAGTACACTCCACATTCTGAGCCTTTGGTTTTTGAGCAGTTTGTTTATATGCGTATTGCATTTGTAGCATCTGACTATGTGTTCGGTTTTATTTGTATTTTGTAGGGTTTATTAAACACGAACCTGGGTTCAATTGCATCACTGGTTGCCTGCAGCAGATGTTGCGCAGTAAGCGCTTCTCGCCACAGCGTCAGCCTCAATTGACCCATTCCTATTTCTAAGTTTACACCAGCCGTGCGCAACGCAACGCAACCCCCTTAACGTACAAGTCCAGAGGGGTCAGACCCGTAATTAATTCCAATGCCGCGGTAGGTGTTGTTCTCATGGCACCTGTGATGTTTAAACCAGCCAGTCGCTGTATTCGATATAATTTTTGGATGGCCGTTGCTTTTAGAACTTTCGGTCCCCATGCAATGGCTCCGTACGTTAACATAGATCTTATTATTGCAGTTCAAATCCAGGTGACCACACTGGGTGAACCCATGCGCGTCCCACTGTCCTCCGACACTGCTCATAAGCCACATATGCTCTTTTTTTCTACTATATAGGTTAGAGTTCCATGTTAACTTCCTGTCGAGAATAGTACCAAGTTATTTCACAGAGAGTTCAGATATAAAGAAATTTGTTTGGTATCTCTTCACCATCTTGACATGCCACAACATAGCGCAGCCAACACGGCCGCTTGCTCTAAGTCCCGTTGTTCAAAATTTTCCATGATAAAGTTTGCCTCCGTCGGACTTAATGGACTGCCATCGCGGTACCATCCGTTTGTTCGTAAAAAGCACAATCTCACTGTAAATAAGTTGATGATGAACAATGAGCTAAGCAGGCGGTTATATCTACTGAAAATACTTCATTTATTAGCTGTATCGTGTCCTTGATCTTAATCATCGTG